TTTGAGGGACTCCAGGAAGGCAAGAAAAACTGGATGGTGGATAAAGCTGGCATTAAAGGTTTCCCACCAAGGGTCTGCATTTCTGCTTCCATGTGTTTGTGCCCTAGGTCCACAGAGGCTCACGTCCATGTGTAATTGTGAGCTCCCCCTCGCCGTGTTTCTTTCATAACTGACCACTTGCGAAGCTGTCTAGCATTTCCTCTCGGCCCTGCCAAAGCTGGCCACTCCGTCCTTGGCTTTGAGCTGATGCCCTTATGCAACAGGGGCACATGGCAGGGGGGCTGTATGCCCACTCCCTTTCCCCTCCAGCGAGGGGACCTGGGGCAGCCGGGCAGCCTTGGTGAAGAAAGAGATGGAGTTGGGGACCCTGGGGGGGGGGGATTAGAGGGACGGGAAGTCACTGGGGCAGAGAGCGTTGGGAAACAGTTCTGTGAGCCCTGGGCTAAGCCAGTTTCTTTTAGTAGAGAAAATCCTCCAGTGGGAGCTCTCCAGTGGTCAATTTTAGCTCCCGCAAAGGTTTGGGAGAAAACTCCCTACTCCCTGTAAGGAACAGCACCCAAGTAGAAGGTCAGGGCTTGTTTTCTTCTCCTGGTTGCAAGTATATTGCCTTAAAATCAAACTAGATTTATTTTGGAGACATTTTTGCTATAGGGCGCATGCGCTTGCCAGAAAGACAGAGAGAGACAGACAGACAGAAAGCGAGAAATCCCCCCCGGGGGGGGGATGGTCACGCCCCAATCCTTTCTCCTCCATTCTCCTCTCGGGATCTTGGGCACGCACGCACACACGCCTGGTGTGAGCTTAAGTCACTGGGTTCAGACTCGAACTGTGGTCCAGATCTACCACGAGGAGCTTCAGAAGCCATCACACTTGCATGGTTTTCTCACAGACCCCAGTGGCAGAGGGAGGGAAGGGGCTGATGACAGCTGCCTTCCTGGTGCTGGGCTGCGTTTCTGTTTTAATGTGTTAGTTCCTAAAATACTTTGGAACTTTTCTACATTCGGCAGGAAATAAAAGGTCTTTTCTCTATGGATGCTTCTCTCACTCTAAAGGAATGAAGAGTGATAATCAACAGGAAAAAAAAAAAGACAAAACCTCTTTGTGTGTACTTAATAAATAGCTTTGAGGCAGGGGTTCTCTTGAGCTGTGGCCACTCTGTACCTTCCAGTATCTTTTTAAAATTTTTTTGAGAGGTTTTTGCTATAGGGTGCATGTGCTTGCCAGAAAGACAGAGAGAGACAGAGA